GGCAGCAGAGGTGAGAGGGAAGGTCAGAGTGGGGAGAGGTCAAGAATGCAACATTCAGGCTGCGTGTGGTAGCGCATACACCTGTAATCCCAACACTCAGGAGACTGAGGCAGGAGGATCACCATGAATTCAAGGCCAGCCTGGGCTACGTAGTGAGACTGTCTAAAAAAAAAAAAAGGATGCAGTATCCACCAGGTGACAGCCCCGCCTTTCTGAGCACCTAGCCTCACTTTATCCAGGCAATGGTGTTGGGGATGTGTGTGAGGATGACTTTGACAACGATGCAGTAGACGATCCCCTGGACGTGTGTCCCGAAAGTGCAGAGGTAACCCTCACGGACTTCCGGGCCTATCAGACTGTCGTCCTGGATCCTGAGGGTGATGCTCAGATCGACCCAAACTGGGTTGTGCTCAATCAGGTACTTAGGGCACCTCAGTGGGCAGGTGCTGTCACACCAGACCTTAAGGTGGGGCCTTGGCGGCGTAGTACATGGGACTAGAGTTTCTTCTTTAATAATCCCAGGGCATGGAAATCGTCCAGACCATGAACAGTGACCCTGGCCTGGCTGTTGGTATGTAAGGGATGCCCAGTTTAATAACTTCCAGATGGGGTAGAGGGCAGGGGAGGAAATGGATGAGAGGATGGGAAAGGCAAGTGAAAAGGCAGTGGGATGGGCTGGCCACACATGCAGCACCCATCCCTGTGCACCCAACCCCCCCAGTGGGCCAGCAGGAACCTTCCTGCCTCTGACCTTTATCCCACCCCCATCCCAGGATACACAGCTTTCAATGGTGTGGACTTTGAAGGCACCTTCCATGTGAACACAGTGACTGATGATGACTATGCAGGCTTTCTCTTCAGTTACCAGGACAGTGGCCGTTTCTATGTGGTCATGTGGAAGCAGACGGAACAGACCTACTGGCAGGCCACACCTTTCCGGGCCGTTGCCCAGCCTGGGCTGCAGCTCAAGGTCTCCTAGCTGCCTAGTTTCCCCAACCCAGGGCCTTTTCCCAAGTTCTTCCTGTCCAATCCCTGAGCCTCCCCCATGGCCTACCTGGGAACCCTCTTACCCAGAGGTGTGACCTGAAGGTCAGCTCTGGGGCTTCAGAGAATTCTCCTAACTCTCTTTGACTTGCTTCCTGACCTCTGTCTCCCTTCACTATGGTCCCATGGTTGACTCCTTATCTTTGCCAATGACCCTCAGGCAGTGACATCAGTGTCGGGGCCAGGCGAGCACCTCCGGAATGCCCTGTGGCATACTGGCCATACCCCAGATCAGGTACGACTGCTGTGGACTGACCCACGAAATGTGGGCTGGCGAGACAAGACCTCCTATCGCTGGCAGCTACTGCACCGGCCTCAAGTTGGCTACATTCGGTGAGGAGAGGGCCTGTGCGCTCTGGGGACCTTCCATCTGTTCCACTTCTGGTGCAGGAGTAGGGAGTAGGCATGACAACCTGTAGGTGTCCTCCACTGTGCTGTGTTTCCCCTTGGTAAAACATGGGCATTGATCTCAATGCCCTTTCCAGTTACCCTGAGCATCCTAATCTCAGGCCCATCCATTTCTAACCCCTGAAGTGGTACAGCCCAGAACCTGCTTCATCAGCATCTGACCTGGAAGGGATCATCAACATTTATAAGAGAGCAAACCAAGGCCCAGATCTCACAGGGCTTTCAGTTCAGTGCTTGGTCCACAACTTTGCATTTTCTTCCCTTGAGAGTCCCTAGTTAGTGGGTATGACTTGTGCTAGGAGAAGAACTGGATCTGTACAGAGGCTGGGCTTTTCAGGGCCAAGAGCCTGGTCCAGGATGTTGGGTTGGTTTCCCTTTAAGGTGCCTGGGGCTATGGGGCGCCAGGGCGAGGGATAAAGGGGGTGGACTAGAGCCTGGGAAGCGGGTGACTTCACCCCCCAGCCCATTGTGCTCATCGTCATGGCAACCCAATCCTCGCTAGGAATGCGGCTGGTGCTTTGAGATGCAAAAGGAGCAGGACAAAGAGCTAGGGGCCCCAGGCCTGAGAAAAACACCCTCTTCCCTCCCTCCCTCTCTTAGGCCTGGGGAGCTGGGATGGGGGGGTTGGGATGAGCAGAGCCCAGGACAAGGTGGCACAGCTCCCATGGACACCTTAGCACCAACGGACACCCCTATCCTGGACAGGGTGAAGCTCTATGAGGGTCCCCAACTAGTAGCGGATTCTGGGGTGATCATTGACACATCCATGCGAGGGGGGCGCCTCGGTGTATTCTGCTTCTCCCAAGAAAACATCATTTGGTCCAATCTCCAGTATCGGTGCAATGGTGAGGCTCTACACCAAGACCAGCCTGGCCCCTCATGCCCTGTGAGAGCCACCTTTTCTGACCTTACTCATTTCCCCTTCTTCAGACACAGTACCTGAGGACTTTGAGCCATTCCGGAGGCAGCTGCTCCAGGGAAGGGTGTGAGGAGATGGCCACCGGATTCAGAATCCTGACTTTAGACCCTTTGGCCTTGGGGGTCCAACCTGGAGACCCTGGGGTCTAAACCACAGCCCCTCAGTCAAACAGATCCTCTTCTGGGTGCAACAGGAGTTAAGCCCCAGAGGGTTAGTGCCCCCACTGTTCAGGGCTTGGGAAATTTTCAAGGGGTATTACTCAGGTTTTAACCCCAGGAAAGATAACAGCACATTGCCATAAAGTTTCAGTTGTTTTCTATGCCAGTGCAATTGCTTATTTTAGGGATTTTTCGGGATAGCATGGGGAACAAGAAAGAACCTGACCCGGGAGGGGGAAAGCTGGTAAGTTGGGAGTTAGAGATCTAGAGAAAGTTTGGCTGAGTTTGGGGTGGGTGGAAGAAGTGCCAGATAGAATTAAATGAAGGATGATGGGGTATTGGTGAGAGGATAGCTAAAGTCCTCTCAGTCCCACTTACTCACGGTGGCCGCGGCGACACTCCAGTTTATCTTAGATCAGCCGGATCGAAAGGCATGAGGGCGGGGGCTGCCCCGCTTGGGGTGAGTGGGAGGCCGGGGGGCCGAGGGGGCCGGAGGCCGGGACGAGTGCAATATTGGCGGGGGAAAGAACAACAGTGCACCGCGTCCCGTCCCTCCCGCCCGCCCGGGGCCCGGAATCCCGCTCCCCACCGCCCTTAGCCCGCAGGGTCGGAGGACCGAGGGCGCCCAGGGGAGTTGGATTCCTCTTAGAAGCAGGCCAGAGACTTGGTGCCCGGAGCGTTGAAAGGGACAGTAAGAGGGAAGGATAAAGGCAGAAAGGGAAACCGTGGCGCCCTTAAAGGCCGAGTTCCGACGCCTGGGCGTTGCGCGCTTGCTCTTTAAATACTCAGACGGAGCTCCGTGGAGCCGTCGCCATGGTGACGCGTGTCCCAGCAACCGAATTGAATGGCTGTTGCCCGGCAACTCCTGGAGTGGAGGCTTGGGACCGCCCACCTGGATACTCACGCTTTCTCTGGCGGCTGACGCGGGCCTTCCCCGCCTCCAGCCGAGCGAAGGACTCGCTGATGCCCAGGCCTCTGCCCGAGGCCCGAAGTCATACCCTCCACCCCCCACCCCCGGCCCAGGGTCGGAGGGAGTGGAGTCCCCAGCTCTCTGACCGGCTTCCTGAGATTCCGATCCTGGACGAGTAATAGTTTCCAATCTGCGTTGGTTGGGGCCGTGTACTGATTACCCAGCTCTGACGTAACTGCTTCACTTGGCCCCTAGACAGTAACGTGGGGTCGCTGGACCCAACCTGGTGCCCTGTATGTGCTTCTGTGGTCCCAAATACCTCCCTGCCCCCAAATATTTGCCTCTAAGAGTTACTATCAGTTTCCCCAAACTACACACCTTCACATACGGTTTTGCTCCTACCAAGAGCATGCCTGCCCAAAGTACCACTGTGCTCCCCAAGGGACAGTTCTGTGCCCCCAAATTCCATTCTGTGGCCTCACCTACTCTTTGCCTCCTAAATATGCAGCTGGCCTCCAAAACCAGTGTCGCAGTCCCACTCCCGCATTCCGATGTCCTTTCCCACAAACCCCTAAGTCCCTTCCACATACCTCAGGACCCCACCCACTTAGCACCATTTCCTTCAGACAGCACCCCGACGCGCCTGAGCGCCCCTTCGCCCCCCCGCCCCGTGGTACTCCGTGTGTCCAAAGCATTAACTCCTTCGCCAGGAACCGACCTCCCTGGACCTCCGGGTCGGGTTTGGGCTGCGTCAGTCCTCTCCTCGCGGTCGCACAGCCCCTCTGCGCGCGAGTGGCTCATGAGGTTGCGGGTGGCCGCTAGGGGGCGAGCGCTCTCGCACAGCGCACCCGGAGGGCCGGCTCTACTTGAGGTGTAGAATTGGGAGGGAAGGACCTCAGGGTTCAGAGGAGGGCACGTTTCGTCCTTCTTTAAGTGGAAATTTCCCCCCACCCCCTCCTCGGGCGAAAGCTAAGGAGGGAGCCTAGGCTGCTGGAAAGTCCGGCCGGGGCGGGTACTGCGAGTTTCAGGGTAGAGCTGCACGTGGAAGGGTCAGGGAGAGGTTCCAAGGTGAGGCGATTCCAGGAAGTGGTGGGGGAGGATGGGGAGGGGGAGGAAGTTCAGAATTGGCGCCTTGTCCACTCATTGTCAAGCTCTCTTATTCCGCCCCATCCCGGGGCTCCATAGGACCCAAGAGAGCAGGGGAGTGGAGTGCCTCTAAGGTGGGCTTCCACCTTATGGTCCCTGGACGCGACCCAGCCCGCTGTCTCTGCTCTCTTCGCCTTAGCTGTTGTCCCAGGGCCAAAAGTAGAGCTGCGGCCCCAAATCTCAGACTCCCCACTTCCCCCTTCAGAGTCAGGGAGTGGTTGATGAAAGGGGGAGGCCACTTGGAAAGCAAACAATTGTCAGAAGACTGACTGATCAGAGCCCACATACCCTACCCAGGAGTGGTTGGGGAGGAGGAGGAAAAAGTAGGAGGTAGAGAAGGGGGGAAGGGGCGGGGCGTTGTCACCTGTCACCTGCTCCGGCTGTGCCTAGGGCAGGAGGGGGGACCGGTATAAAGCAGCAGGCACCAGTGACGTTCCACCTCACACACGCATTGCTGGCCTGAGTCTGCTCTGCCCCCTCCCGCCAGTTCACCACCACCATGACACCGGGCACTCGGGTCCTGTTCTTCCTGCTGCTGCTGCTACTAGTTCTTACAGGTGAGGGGTACAAGGTGGGGTGGGGTCTCCCCTGCTCAACTGGTCTTCCTGGCCTTTTGTGGGGGTTGCTTCCTGGCAAATGGAACCTTCAGAGTCAAAAGTTACAAACAGTGGTGGCCAGGCCTGTAGCCAAATGGAGACACGCTGAGAAAAGGTGACCGACCCCTTAAGCCAGGCATGGTGGCACACACATGCAATCCCAGCATTCAGGAGGCTGAGGCAGGGGGATCCTTGTGAGTTTAAGACCAGCCTAGGCTACAAAGTGAGCTCAAGGCCAGCCTGAATTGCATAGCAAGACCCTGTCTTTTTTTCTTTAAAATTTTTTTCTGACGGAACTGGGGATTGAACTCAGGTCCTTGCACTTGCCAGGGAAGTGCTTATTCCACTAAGCCATCTCCCCGGCTCCCAAGACCCTGTCTTTTTTTTTTTTTTTTTTTAATTTCTCCTTTTTTAAAAATTTATTTATTTGTGTGTGTGTGTGTGTGTGTGTGTGTGTGTGTGTCCAGCTCAGCCCACCAGGGGGCGGGGCTGGCTGGCATGTGGTGCTGGGGGATTGAACCGTGGTCCCTGTGCTTTGCTAAGCTTGTTCTAGGTAGGTGCTTTAGACCACTGAGCCATCTCACCAGCCCCCAAGACCCTGTCTTAAAAAGAAAAAATCAGGTGAACCTCCCCCCCTCAGGAGAGTGGCCATTGGGGAGGAGGAGGTGGATGCCATCCTAAAGAGAAGTCTAGGGGGAAGAATGGAGGAGAGGTAGTTGCAGGGCAAAGAAAGTAGCTACCAAGAGGAAGGAGGAGGGCCACTCCGGGGGCGGCTCATGCTACCTGCTTCCCAAGCCTCCTGGTATTGCTTTTGTGGTTGCCACAGGTTATATTTTCTCCTTACTCTGATTTGCCCTCCAACCAAATGGCTCTTACAACTTCCGGCCCTAGTCAGAGCAGAAAGCAGAAACCTTGGCTACCCAAAGCAGCCCAGTACCCAACCATTGAAAGCAGTTCTGTGAGTGTGGCTAGCAGTTTACTCCCCACCTCAGTCCTGGTTCAGGCTCTGCTGCCATTCTAGGCCCGAAGAGTGTCACCTTATCTCAGAGCACCCCAAGCTCAGCTGCCACTTCAAGCTATGGTGCCATCTCCACTACAATCACCTGGGCTTCTGCATCAAGGTCAGCCACCCCTACAGTCCATACAGGCATCTCAGCCCCAGCGGCCACCAGCTCTACAGAAGTGACCAGCACTGCAGCTCACCGTGGCACCTCGGCCCCAACCACCACCAGCTCTACAGAAGCAGTCAACACTACAGCCCACCGTGACACCTCGGCCCCAGCCGTCATCAGTTCTGCAGGAGCGGTCAACCCTACAGTCCACACAGGCACCTCTGCCCCAGCTACCACCAGCTCTACAGAAGCGGCCAACAATACAGCCCACCTTGGCACCTCGGCCCCAGCCACCACCAGCTTTACAGAAGCGGCCAACACTACAGCCCACCGTGGTTCCTCGGCCCCAGCACCCACCAGCTCTATAGAAGTGGCCAACACTATAGCTTACCTTGACACCTCGGCCTCAGCATCCACCAGCTCTACAGAAGTGGCCACCCCTACAGTCCACACAGGCACCTCGGTTCCAAGGTGAGGCGATTCCAGGAAGTGGTGG